GATATAGACAATGTTCCCTCACAATGATATAGACCCTGTTCCCTCACAATGATATATACCGTGTTCCCTCACAATGAGAGTGAGTACTGGTGAATACTACAATGAAGGGGGGGCAGTGATGATGATGGAGGTGTGGCAGAGACGGTGATGAAGGGGGTGACAGTGATGGTGATGACTGAGGGCAGTGATGGTGATAGAGGTGTGGCAGTGATAGTGATGGAGGGCGCAGTGATGGTGATGGAGGATTGGCAGTGATGGTGATGAAGGGGGTGACAGTGATGTTGATGAAGAGGTGGCAGTGATAGTGATGGAGGGTTGACAGTGTTGGTGATGAAGGAGTGAGTAGCAGTGATGGTGATGAAGGAGTGACAATGATAGCGATGAGTAAGTAAGTAATTATCAAAAGAAGGCACCAAACCGGGAAGGTTATGTAGCACCATCAAATGTGCGTGATAATCAGAGGGCGCTAAATATCACCAAGGATGCCAATACGAGAACAGAAACGCCTAAGGCGAACGATATCAAAAGTATCAGAGTCACCAAGAATACTATCGAGGGACAAGTGACCGCGAGGGACGGTTGGAAAACAAGACACACCATCGTCCTTCAAGTCAGGACATTCAACTAGGATATGCACGAATATAGGAGGAACAATGCAATTAGGACAATAAGGAGCAGGGCAGCGCTCCACAGGGCGACCGTGAGTTAAACGAGTATGGCCAATATGCAACCTTGCTAGAGCCGTTTCCCACCGCCGGTTACGATGGCAGGAGGAAGGCCATGGGGGACACACTACGCTTTAGAGTACGCAGTTTGTTACCAACAACAGAAGATCAACAACCCTGCCAACGGGCAAAAATGGAGGAATGAATAATAGGGAAAAAATCGGAATAAGAAATGCCTTTATGGAAGATGGGACAAGAGTGGATAGCTTCTCCAGTGGCAGCATCCGCATGCTCATTTAAATAAACACCAATTTTTTTTTTTTTTTTTTTTTAACATATTAGGTACATCTGCATTAGTGCAGCTGCCCTAGACTATATGAAGTGGAGTACAGTGTGTCAAAAAGCTAACTAGGTGATGCTAAGAAATCCCCATCACACAGGATGGTTAGTCATACAGAGGCATGTGATAAGCGGTCTGCACTGGCAGACTCCGGATGCATTTTGAGGATATCAACAACACAAGATTGAATAAGGTAACAGTGGTAATACAAGTCCCCATCTCGCAGGATGGTTAGTCATACAGAGCCATGTGTTTAATAGCCTGAACTGGCAAATTTTGGGTATACTGTGAGGATATCTTCAAGAATACGAGAGTGAATAAAGTAATTGCAATATGGTTGGGAACCCAGTAAAACTCTACGGATTTAAATTTACTTTAAAGGACCCTAGAGCCATGAGGGCATTATGAGAGTCAACTACAACCACAAAGGTGGATTGACAACGAGAATGGAGGAGACGAAGAGCATAGACAATAGCATAAAGTTCTGCTGTGAAGATGCTAGTCTCCGGAGGCAAGCGATACATATAAGTGCGGTCAGGATGAACAACAGAGTAGCCCACACCGTCTGCAGACTTAGACCAATCGACGAAGATGAAAACAGAGTGGGAGTGTGAAAAAAAGTGCTCAAGGAAAAGGCGTTTCAGAACTGTAGGAGGGGTAAAAGCTGTAGTGATGCGGGTCAGGGATTTGCAATATTGAGGAAGGGGGACCATCCACGGGGACAAGGACGGAACAACACGAGGAGAAATATTAGTAATACAATACAATACAATACAATATAATTTTATTTAGGTAAGGTACATACATACAATAAATATTTACAAGGATTGTTTGACTTATAGGTAGAGCTAGTACATACAATGCCTAAAGCCACTATTACGCAAAGCGTTTCGGGCATAAACTAGCCGAAAACATAAACATAATACTAGCCGAAAGAGAATGTTGCAGGTGAGACAACTGCAACATTCCTCCTCCTGTTCCACTTCACCTCAGACAACTGAGGTGAAGTGGAACATGAACTACAGTAGGGCGAAAAGTCAAAGCACGACACAGGCGAGAGTGAGGGTGTTGTAAGGACCACACAATGTAGCGAAGACAGTAGCGATCACGGCGGTCCTGGAGAGACAGGAAGCTAGTGTCACCGTACAAGCAGAGGGTATGAGTCGAACGAAAAGCACCAGAGCTGAGACGCAACCCAGTATGGTGCAAAGGATCAAGACGGCGAAGAGTAGAAGGAGAAGCAGAAGAGTAAGCAGGGCAACCATAATCGAGTTTAGACAGTACGAGAGAGGAGTGCAAAAAGAGGAGCGTGCGCCTATCTGCTCCCCAAGAAATATTTGACAGAACCTTAAGTAGGTTAAGGACCTTAGAGCATTCAACACGGAGGTAAGAGATAAGGGGGGAGGTGCCAAGACAAACGAGTGTCGACAAAGAAGGACGAAGGACGACATGCGTTCGAGTAAAAGTCATACCACAAGTCTTAGTGGCAGAGAACTTGAAACCATGATTGGTGGCCTAAGACGACACAGCATCAATCGCAAGTTGAAGCCGCCGTTGAAGGAAAGGCGAATCATCACCTCGACAGCAAAGAGTAAGATCGTCGACATAAAGAGCGGAGAAGATGCCAGAAGGAAGGGAGGAAAGAAGACCATTGAGGACAACCAGAAAAAAAGTAGTGCTCAGAACACTACCCTGGGGTACACCTTCGTATTGCCGAAAAGAGGCAGTGAGTGGCACCAAGCCTGACTCGAAAGGAACGACGAGAGAGGAAGCTTTGGAGATAGAGAGGGAGATTACCACGAAGGTGAAAAGAACGAAGCTAGGGCAGAATATGGTATCTCCAGGTTGTCATAAGCCTTTTCCAAGTCACAAAGGACAGCAACAACGGAGGTCTTCGCAGCAAAAGCAGTATTAATATAGACCTCCAAGTTCACTAGGACATCAGTTGTGCTACGGTACTTGCGAAAATCAAATTGAGAATGAGAGAGGTGGTGATGATGTTCCAAGAACCACATCAGACGATCATTTACCATACGCTCAAAGAGTTTGCAGACACAACTCGTGAAGGCAATATGGCGAAAGTCCTCAGAGGATGTCTTGAGAGACCCCGGTTTCCGAATAGGAAGTACAACAGCATCGAGCCAGTCCTCAGGGACTGACGACGACTCCCAGACCTGGTTATACAGACTCAGTAAATACTGAGACGTACAAGGAGGGAGATGGCGAAACATCTCATAATGAAGTCATCCGAGCCCGCTGCTGTAGAACCACAGAGGGGCAGGGCAGACTGACGTTCAGAGAGAGAGTAGGGATCGTTATAGGGAAGGCGGAGTTGAGTGCGGAAATCTAAGGGATGAAATTCAAGAACGGGCTTACGAAGAAGGAAGGATTGAGGAAGATGAGAACCAGAGCTAACAAAAGAAATTTGGGAACCCAGTTCGGTCGCGACCTGCACTGGGTCTGCCACAAGAGTACCACGGAGATGAAAAACCAGCAAAACATCTGGAACGAACTTTCCTGCAATCTTGTAGATCTTCTTCCAGATCTGCACCAGAGGAGTATCGGATGTAATGGTGGAAACATAAGATTCCCAACTCTCACGCTTAGCCGTACGGATGGTCCTATGGGCCACTGCACTTGCTTTCCGAAACAAAATAAAAGAATCAGCCGTCTGCCGGCGTCGGTATTTCTTCCAGGCTGCACACTTACAGCAGACAGCCCGAGCACAGTTCACATTCCACCAGCGAACGCACTTCCGCATGCCCTGGGAGGTAGAGCGAGGAATAGAGCGGAGGGCAGCGTCGAAGATGGTATCATGAAAAAGGAGGAGGGCGCGAGGAAGAGGCAGAGAGGAGAGGTCAGAGAGAGCAGCATGGAGGGTGAATAGATTCCAGTCAGCTTTGGCAAACTGCCACCTAAGGAAGGAGAGGGGATGGGGAAATGGTCTCTATTGTGGAGGTCATCAAGAACCTGCCATGTGAGATCTAAGTAAAGGGACGACGAGCAGAGAGAAACATCAAGGCTGGAAAGGGTGCGAGTCTGAGAGTCCACATGGGTGGGCTCACCACAATTCAGAAGAGATAGGGTAGAAGCGAGGACGAACAGTTCGAGAAGGCGACCTCGGATGTTTGTCAGAACATCACCCCAGAGGGTATGTCGACAGTTGAAATCACCCAACAGGAGCACCGGCTCTGGCAAGGAGTCCAGGAGGTGCTTAAGATCAGGAAGGGAAAGCGGGACAATTGGGGGGAGATAAATGGAACAGACTGTATACCATTTACTCACAAAACACAGGCAGCAGAACAATGGACAGGCGATGGAACGAAGGGAATATCAGTACGAATCAAGAGAGCAGTAGAGTTACTGGCCCCAGCTCTTGCTGGCGGGGGGGGGGGGAGAAAGAAAGTAATAGCCACGAAAGTGACGACCAGGACGAGCACCAAGCATCGGTTTGTGGAGACAAACACAAAGTGGTGAAAACTGTGTACGAATATTCCATTGAAGAATAGACATTATCAAAAAGAGAAAGGACAGCAACAGAGAACAATGAAGAAACAAAGGTAAAGAAGAACACAGTATATGAAAGAAGCTCAGGATCAGGGGCAGGGTCAGCAAAATCAGGGTTAGGGGGCATGGGTAAAATTAGTAATTAGGAGGGAAGGGAGCGGGAGGACAGACCAGAGGCGGACGGACGGGGTCCAGAGGAGGAGGAGACAACCGAGAGGGAATGTCACGGACAGGAGGAGTAGGAGGGGGGAAGAAACCAGGGAGCGCACCTCAGCAAGGGCAGCAACCGAGAGGAAATCGGGGGCGTAAGAAACCTCCATATCTGGGACAGGGGGGCCGACTACCGAAATGGGAGGGGAAGTAGCAATAGAGTCAGAGGAGGGGGCGAGGAAGAAAGTGATATGTTCTTACCCGCTGGGGAGGAGAAAGGAGAGGAGCCAGGCTTACGTTTCTGACTCAAAGAGACAGGTGTTCCAGAAACAACATACTGGGCGTCAGACTCAATGGTCTCGGCAGGAGAAGAAGAACGGGAGTGAACAACATGGAGATCGCTGGGAGGATGATGATGGACATCAGCCTGGACAAACAGGCGGCGTGGAGGGTCAAAAGACTGTAGGTAGGGTTGGGAAGAAGGAAAAGAAAACACAGGAGACATGGCGGACAGGGTAGGAAGGGGGAAATCTCCAGAAGGAGAATCAAGGAGACCTTCCGCGACAGGACGTAAAGGAACAGGGGAGGAAGTGGTGGGCGTGTCCGAGTCCAAGGCCTGGAAATGGTTGCGGGACTGAGGAAGGTGGGAAGGACGAGGAGAGGTGGAACTCAACACGCGACCTTAAGATACGCCAGTGAAAGTGTCGGACTTGGCGTCTCGCTTCAGGAAAACTCAAACGATCCCGGTGTTTCAAGTTGAGGACTGCTTCCTCAAGCTTGTAGTGGATACTCGTGTGTACTTGTAGATGACTGTGTTCTTGTAGATGACTTGGTACTTGTAGATGACTGTGTACTTGTAGATGACTGTGTACTTGTAGATGACTGTGTTCTTGTAGATGACTGTGTACTTGTAGATGACTGTGAAGGTGTAGATGACTGTGTACTTGTAGATGACTGTGTACTTGTAGATGACTGTGTACTTGTAGATGACTGTGTACTTGTAGATGACTGTGTACTTGTAGATGACTGTGTACTTGTAGATGACTGTGAAGGTGTAGATGACTGTGTACTTGTAGATGACTGTGTTCTTGTAGATGACTGTGAAGGTGTAGATGACTGTGTTCTTGTAGATGACTGTGTGCTTGTAGATGACTGTGTACTTGTAGATGACTGTGTACTTGTAGATGACTGTGTTCTTGTAGATGACTGTGTTCTTGTAGATGACTGTGTTCTTGTAGATGACTGTGTTCTTGTAGATGACTGTGAAGGTGTAGATGACTGTGTACTTGTAGATGACTGTGAAGGTGTAGATGACTGTGTACTTGTTGATGACTGTGTACTTGTAGATGACTGTGTTCTTGTAGATGACTGTGTTCTTGTAGATGACTGTGAAGGTGTAGATGACTGTGTACTTGTAGATGACTGTGTACTTGTAGATGACTGTGTACTTGTAGATGACTGTGAAGGTGTAGATGACTGTGTACTTGTAGATGACTGTGAAGGTGTAGATGACTGTGTACCTGTAGATGACTGTGTTCTTGTAGATGACTGTGAAGGTGTAGATGACTGTGTTCTTGTAGATGACTGTGTACTTGTAGATGACTGTGTTCTTGTAGATGACTGTGTACTTGTAGATGACTGTGTACTTGTAGATGACTGTGTACTTGTAGATGACTGTGAAGGTGTAGATGACTGTATACTTGTAGATGACTGTGAAGGTGTAGATGACTGTGTACTTGTAGATGACTGTGTACTTGTAGATGACTGGGTACTTGTAGATGACTGTGTACTTGTAGATGACTGAGTACTTGTAGATGACTGTGTACTTGTAGATGACTGTGTACTTGTAGATGACTGTGTACTTGTAGATGACTGTGAAGGTGTAGATGACTGTGTACTTGTAGATGACTGTGTACTTGTAGATGACTGTGAAGGTGTAGATGACTGTGTACTTGTAGATGACTGTGTACTTGTAGATGACTGTGTTCTTGTAGATGACTGTGTACTTGTAGATGACTGTGAAGGTGTAGATGACTGGGTACTTGTAGATGACTGTGTTCTTGTAGATGACTGTGTACTTGTAGATGACTGTGTACTTGTAGATGACTGTGTTCTTGTAGATGACTGTGTACTTGTAGATGACTGTGTACTTGTAGATGACTGTGTACTTGTAGATGACTGTGTACCTGTAGATGACTGTGTACTTGTAGATGACTGTGTACTTGTAGATGACTGTGTTCTTGTAGATGACTGTGTACTTGTAGATGACTGTGTACTTGTAGATGACTGTGTACTTGTAGATGACTGTGTTCTTGTAGATGACTGTGTACTTGTAGATGACTGTGTTCTTGTAGATGACTGGGTACTTGTAGAAGACTGTGAAGGTGTAGATGACTGTGTACTAGTAGATGACTGTGTACTTGTAGATGACTGTGAAGGTGTAGATGACTGTGAAGGTGTAGATGACTGTGAAGGTGTAGATGACTGTGTACTTGTAGATGACTGTGTTCTTGTAGATGACTGGGTACTTGTAGATGACTATGAAGGTGTAGATGACTGTGTACTTGTAGGTGACTGTGTTCTTGTAGATGACTGTGTACTTGTAGATGACTGTGTTCTTGTAGATGACTGTGTACTTTTAGATGACTGTGAAGGTGTAGATGACTGGGTATTTGTAGATGACTGTGTACTTGTAGATGACTGTGAAGGTGTAGATGACTGTGTACTTTTAGATGACTGTGAAGGTGTAGATGACTGGGTATTTGTAGATGACTGTGTACTTGTAGATGACTGTGAAGGTGTAGATGACTGTGTACTTGTAGATGACTGTGTACTTGTAGATGACTGTGTTCTTGTAGATGACTGTGTACTTGTAGATGACTGTGTACTTGTAGATGACTGTGAAGGTGTAGATGACTGTGAAGGTGTAGATGACTGTGTTCTTGTAGATGACTGTGCACTTGTAGATGACTGTGTACTTGTAGATGACTGTGTACCTGTAGATGACTGTGTACTTGTAGATGACTGTGTACTTGTAGATGACTGTGTACTTGTAGATGACTGTGTACTTGTAGATGACTGTGTACTTGTAGATGACTGTGTTCTTGTAGATGACTGTGTACTTGTAGATGACTGTGTTCTTGTAGATGACTGTGTACTTGTAGATGACTGTGTTCTTGTAGATGACTGTGTACTTGTAGATGACTGTGTACTTGTAGATGACTGTGTACTTGTAGATGACTGTGTAGTTGTAGATGACTGTGTACTTGTAGATGACTGTGTACTTGTAGATGACTGTGTACTTGTAGATGACTGTGTACTTGTAGATGACTGTGTACTTGTAGATGACTATGTACTTGTAGATGACTGTGTACTTGTAGATGACTGTGTACTTATAGATGACTGTGTACTTGTAGATGACTATGTGCTTGTAGATGACTGGGTACTTGTAGATGACTGTGTACTTGTAGATGACTGTGTACTTGTAGATGACTGTGTACTTGTAGATGACTGTGTACTTGTAGATGACTATGAAACTGTTGATGACTTTTGTGTTAAATTGCATTATACCTATAGACATCCCATTATACCTATAGAGATCCCATTATACCTATAGACATCCCATTATACCTATAGACATCCCATTATACCTATAGACATCCCATTATACCTATAGACATCCCATTATACCTATAGACATCCCATTATACCTATAGACATCCCATTATACCTATAGACATCCCATTATACCTATAGACATCCCATTATACCTATAGACATCCCATTATATCTATAGACATCCCATTATACCTATAGACATCCCATTATACCTATAGACATCCCATTATACCTATAGACATCCCATTATACCTATAGACATCCCATTATACCTATAGACATCCCATTATACATATAGACATCCCATTATACCTATAGACATCCCATTATACCTATAGACATCCCATTATACCTATAGACATCCCATTATACCTATAGACATCCCATTATACATATAGACATCCCATTATACCTATAGACATCCCATTATACCTATAGACATCCCATTATACCTATAGACATCCCATTATACCTATAGACATCCCATTATACATATAGACATCCCATTATACCTATAGACATCCCATTATACCTATAGACATCCCATTATACCTATAGACATCCCATTAGCATTGTTGCAGAACACTTGATAGGGGGTGTCTGCCCCTCCCCCCCCCTCCTCCTCCTCCACCTCCCCTCTCTCTTCCTCCTCTCTTCTATCTCTTCCTTCACCTTCCTCTACCACCCCCTTTATCTTTCTATCACTCTTTTCTCTCACCTCTACTTCTCTCCCCTCTCCATCTTGCCTTCTACCTTGAACAGGCAAATAGACAAACAGAATAATATTCTATATTACAGATCCATATTTATAATAGATTCAAAACAATTTTGTTGTAGTTAAGATATGAAATGCTAAGACAGGAAATGCCCCTGTTACCTAGCAGTAAATAGGTACCTGGGTGTTAGTCAGCTGTCACGGGCTGCTTCCTGGGGGTGGAGGCCTGGTCGAGGACCGGGCCGCGGGGACACTAAAGCCCCGAAATCATCTCAAGATAACCTCAAGATATAAGTTGGCAAGCCATTTCTCCTATATCAGTATTGTTATATGAACTTGAAGAGATTTTACCAACCTCTTTCTCTAGTGAAGGAACAAGAGAAAGATTGATAATATTCTTGAAAGAATGTAAGATCTAATCCTCTTGCAACACGTGAGCAAGAGAGAGACGGCTGCCGGCGGGTGCCAGTCTCAGAACTGGCGACCCTGCAGTGAGTAACCCCAATCGTCACTGTTATGGAGCTCCATAATCTCTCTCTCGACACCCGATTCACAGAGCTGAACTTGACATCTCTGAATACTGAGTCCTGTTACAGCGTGTTATGGATCAATGGATGAATACAAAGTGAGTTACAGCATGATATGGTTCAATATATGAATATAAAGTGCACTATACAGACCAATGGATAAATACAAAGTTCAGTTATAGCATAATATAGACCAATTGATGAATTAAAAGTGCAGTTACAGCATGATATATGCCAATTGATGAATAAAAAGTGCAGTTACAACATGATATGGATCATTGAATGAATACAAACTAGAAGTTACAGCATGACATGGAAGAATACATGGCACAGGGTAGAGCATGATATGGACCAGTAGATGAACAATATCATAGACTGCGACCTTCGAACTCTCATTGACCTTGACGAATTTCTTGACTGAGATCGCATCAACAAGGAGACCAGAATCATTAACTTCTTATCTGAAGGTCCCGCGGAGACTCCTCCACACTCCTGGTGAGTCCTACAGCAGCTCTGCAGAAAGTAATCCTTCAGGAAAGACTATTTTAACTCTTCAGATAGGGAGCCACTAACTCTTAGAGACAAGGAGTTACAAGCATTTGAAGACGGTCGAGTCATTCCCACAACGGTAGTTATCAACTGAGTACACATTTGTGTATCTGAACTAGAACTGAAAGAGCAAAATAGGTTCTGAAAAGGTTGAGTCTCTAGCGATGGTTCTCGCGGTGATGCTGCTTCACGGGTCCATTATAAATGGTCACGACAGAATTTCCAACTGCGGTCGGCTGGCATCATTCGTCAGCCCACAATAGCCCACTAAATCACCCATGTGCGCAAACACCCACTAACGTGAAAATCACAAATTTTTAACTGTAACCAAATACAATTCTCGACATTAAGTCGCTCGGGATAAATTGATTCAATAAGTTGTGAATCAAAAACTGTCTGCACTAGTCTTGTTAAGTGACGTCACTCACCAGTGACCTCACTCACCAGTGACCTCACTCATCAGTGACCACACTCACCAGTGACCACACTCACCAGTGACCACACTCACCAGTGACCACACTCACCAGTGACCTCACTCACCAGTGACCACACTCACCAGTGACCACACGCACCAGTGACCACACTCACCAGTGACCACACTCACCAGTGACCACACTCACCAGTGACCACACTCACCAGTGACCACACTCACCAGTGACCACACTCACCAGTGACCACACTCACCAGTGACCTCACTCACCAGTGACCACACTCACCAGTGACCACACTCACCAGTGACCACACTCACCAGTGACCACACTCACCAGTGACCACACTCACCAGTGACCACACTCACCAGTGACCACACTCACCAGTGATCACACTCACCAGTGACCTCACTCACCAGTGACCTCACTCACCAGTGACCTCACTCACCAGTGACCACACTCACCAGTGACCTCACTCACCAGTGACCTCACTCACCAGTGACCACACTCACCAGTGACCTCACTCACCAGTGACCTCACTCACCAGTGACCACACTCACCAGTGACCTCACTCACCAGTGACCTCACTCACCAGTGACCACACTCACCAGTGACCTCACTCACCAGTGACCACACTCACCAGTGACCACACTCACCAGTGACCTCACTCACCAGTGACCACACTCACCAGTGACCACACTCACCAGTGACCACACTCACCAGTGACCTCACTCACCAGTGACCACACTCACCAGTGACCACACTCACCACACTCACCAGTGACCACACTCACCAGTGACCACACTCACCAGTGACCACACTCACCAGTGACCACACTCACCAGTGACCACCTCACTCACCAGTGACCTCACTCACCAGTGACCTCACTCACCAGTGACCACACTCACCAGTGACCTCACTCACCAGTGACCTCACTCACCAGTGACCACACTCACCAGTGACCTCACTCACCAGTGACCTCACTCACCAGTGACCACACTCACCAGTGACCTCACTCACCAGTGACCACACTCACCAGGGACCACACTCACCAGTGACCACACTCACCAGACCACACTCACCAGACCCACTCACCAGTGACCACACTCACCAGTGACCACACTCACCAGTGACCACACTCACCAGTGACCACACTCACCAGTGACCACACTCACCAGTGACCACACTCACCAGTGACCACACTCGCCAGTGACCACACTCACCACACTCACCAGTGACCACACTCACCAGTGACCACACTCACCAGTGACCTCACTCACCAGTGACCTCACTCACCAGTGACCACACTCACCAGTGACCTCACTCACCAGTGACCTCACTCACCAGTGACCACACTCACCAGTGACCTCACTCACCAGTGACCACACTCACCAGTGACCACACTCACCAGTGACCACTCACTCACCAGTGACCAGTGACCACACTCACCAGTGACCACACTCACCAGTGACCTGACCACACTCACCAGTGACCACACTCACCAGTGACCACACTCACCAGTGACCACACTCACCAGTGACCACACTCACCAGTGACCACACCTGACCACACTCACCAGTGACCACACTCACCAGTGACCTCACTGACCACACTCACCAGTGACCACACCAGTGACCTCACTCACCAGTGACCACACTCACCAGTGACCACACTCACCAGTGACCTCACTCACCAGTGACCACACTCACCAGTGACCACACTCACCAGTGACCACACTCACCACAGACTCACCAGTGACCACACTCACCAGTGACCACACTCACCAGTGACCACACTCACCAGTGACCACACTCACCAGTGACCACACTCACCAGTGACCTCACTCACCACCACACCACACTCACCAGTGACCACACTCACCAGTGACCACACTCACCAGTGACCCACACTCACCAGTGACCACACTCACCAGTGACCACACTCACCAGTGACCACACTCACCAGTGACCACACTCACCAGTGACCACACTCACCAGTGACCACACTCACCAGTGACCACACTCACCAGTGACCTCACTCACCAGTGACCACACTCACCAGTGACCACACTCACCAGTGACCACACTCACCAGTGACCACACTCACCAGTGACCACACTCACCAGTGACCACACTCACCAGTGACCTCACTCACCAGTGACCACACTCACCAGTGACCACACTCACCAGTGACCACACTCACCAGTGACCACACTCACCAGTGACCACACTCACCAGTGACCTCACTCACCAGTGACCTCACTCACCAGTGACACTCACCAGTGACCACACTCACCACCAGTGACCACACTCACCAGTGACCACACTCACCAGTGACCACACTCACCAGTGACACTCACCAGTAACCACACTCACCACACTCACCAGTGACCACACTCACTCACCAGTGACCACACTCACCAGTGACCACACTCACCAGTGACCACACTCACCAGTGACCACACTCACCAGTGACCACACTCACCAGTGACCACCACTCACCAGTGACCACACTCACCAGTGACCACACTCACCAGTGACCACACTCACCAGTGACCACACTCACCAGTGACCACACTCAACAGTGACCACACTCACCAGTGACCACACTCACCAGTGACCACACCAGTGACCACACTCACCAGTGACCACACTCACCAGTGACCACACTCACCAGTGACCACACTCACCAGTGACCACACTCACCAGTGACCACACTCACCAGAGAC